AGTTGCTAATCTCTGAAAACCTGATCTTAAGACACCATAAAGACTTATTTCTGGATTTGTTTCCTGATGTGCCTGGAACACAGAAAGTATTCAGTAAATATTTGTCATATGAATGAATGTGTAAAAAGATGGCATATGGTTCCTACACTGTTCACTTCTTAAGTCCCTTAATGGAAGTGTGCCTCACCTGCTAGCACTTTCTCTACTAACTTTGATGCTAACTCAGCTACTCTACTAGAGTTGTACTTCTTATATTGGTTTCTCCCAGGTGTTAGAAAGTTGTCTCCTCCTTGAGCACCTGGTGATAAAGAGAGTAAAGCTACAACTCTGCTACAAAGTTTCAATAAACAGGAACTGTGTGTGTGCATGCACACCCACTGCTAGTAAAGCATATGGCAGAGCCTCTGGAGTAAGCCTGATATAATTTATGCTTTCAAATTAAGCATGAAATATCTAGAATAACCTATGGTAATAATACTAAGTACCCACAAGAATGCTTTTCAAGAGTTAAAAATGCCTTACAGATGTCTTGGGAGTTAGAGGCCAGACAGTATTATTATTAGCTCCATTTTACAGGATGGACAGCAAAGAAAAAAGAGGCTTGATCATAACTCCACTGTCATAACTCTTGGTTCTAACAAAAGAACTAGGCATTGTAAAATCACAGGCCCAAGGTCTAATGGACTTCCCATACATTTGAAAGTTTGTCTTCAGTCATTCTATTGATACTGGTGCCTTCAAACTTTTTCACCAGCTATAATTACTCTGCCTAACTTGTCTTATTTTCCACTATTCCCCCAAACATCCCTTCTTAGGTCCAACACCGAGTGTTGTCTTTTCCAATATTAATCCAAACTATTCTATACATCATGTGATGAATAATCTCCCCACACACTCTGAGTTACATACTCCCTGCCTTTATTTTTAAATTTTAGTTTAGCTTAACATTTTTATTAAAGTAACACATATAACAGTATAGAAGAGTTTTAGTCCTGCAGATTACCTCTAGAAACTTGAGATCAAACACTTATACTTCATTTATTGCATTTTCATTTGTGGATAACTACCTGATATGAAACATAAGGGCTAAACTCTCTGAATGCAACCACCTTCCTGTCAGCTCTTCCCAGAGTTTGATGTGAATGTTATTACATCTATTTCTTCAACCTTTTCTTTCTTGTTCCTTTATATTAAAAAGAAAAGTGTGTATGTCCACTTACATCTCTGGGTGTTGTTTTGAACACAATGGCTCCCTGCAGCCCTCAGCTAGCCTATCTTCTGCTGGCACTTACATCATATTTCACTGACTACAATTTCCAGTTGATTTCTGACTTAAATACGTCTGCTAAATTCTCCTATTCATTGGAAACACTCCTTTCCATCTCCTTCACTATTTTGGGGTTATTTCCTAATGAAATGTCTATGCTTACACTATATTTTACTGGGTCTCAGTAGAAATAAGCCTAGTCTCCCATTTTGAGCCAGGGTCACTCCTTTATGCCATGCTTGCTCGATGCATCCATTCTGCTCCCTCAATCCATAAATTCTTTAATGACAAACATTGCTTTTTAAAATTTATCCCAAATACTTAATGCATTTCAATGTACTCGAGATATAAAGGAAATATAGGGCTGATCATTTATGTAAAAATAAAAGATCCACCCTGGCTGGGAGCTCAGTTGGTTAGAAGGTGGCAGGTTCAATCCCCTATAAGCCAAGGTGGCAGGTTCAATCCCCAGTCAGGGTACATACAAGAGTCAACCAATGAATGCATAAATAAGTGAAACAACAAATCTCTCTCTCTCTCAGAATCAATTGAAAAAAAAAAAAAGGATAAAAAATAATCTTAAATGCTAATTTCATCCCTTTTTCCCCCTCAGAAAACACTGTTTACACAATTGAAACTTACAGAAGCAAGATTGGCTAAATAACTGAAGCATATAAAAATGTTGACTTAATAAAACCACAAATCCAGTATGACAGCTTCAGAGTTAATCAGAAGACTGAGGAAAAAGAGAAAATGTAAACATTTGTTTGTTATTATTTACCTACTGATAGCTCAAGAACCTATAATTTCTGTCTAAAAGCTCTAAGAGCACTTCAGGTAGATCTAGGTATAAGCCAAAGAAGTTTTTAATCTAGAGTTGTATTATATCAGTTACAGCAAGACTCTCCACCTTCTAGAATTAAAAAATCAAAACAACAAAAAAACTATTACCTATATTAAAATTTCCATATTCAAAAAAATAGACTTTTGAGGATATTTTCTATGTAGTTGGGTTTCAGATTAAAGAACAAAGGAAAATCTCCTCCCTTTAAGAACACTATTTCAGAATAAGAATTATGTCATGGGAAGTCATTATGATTAGACCGTCTCTATGGCAAAATTTCTGTATAATGTCACTCTGTATACTATAGATTTTACAATAATTATCCCAAATGTCAGAAGTATAAAATTTCCATATCTCTCTCCTCAACTCATCATTCTATTAATTCTTTCTTAGAAAAATTCAAGTACCTACTTACTGTATTTGCTTTAGTTTCATTATCTACCTAAGTATATAAGCCCCTAAAGTTCTATGACCACGTCTCATATTTGGAATAAGACTTTGAACAAAAATCAGGTGCTAAATGAAGTCTGCTAATACCTATATGACATGAACTCTCAAACTATATTTAAAGACAGCATTATTTTATATAACTTCCACTGCTTTATTGTTTCAGCATCTCAAGATTATTTTCAGTAATGACCTAAATATTTCTGAGATAAGAAATAGGGATAATGAAAAAAAACTTAAAGCTGTATTCCTTTTTTCCAATTAAACTGGATTTTGATTTAGATTGTCCGAGTATATTTACATTGTCAAAAGCTAACTTCATTTTGATAAACACCTTAAACATCCCACCCAAAATGGTAAGAAATAAAGTGACTGTAAATGGCTGTTGAGTTTTTCCTAATAAAAGCAGCAGTTATTCCAAATTATTATTTTTCTATTTATGTCTAAGGACCTTTCTTACCAACAACCCCTAGTTTGCACTGTTTTTGCATTCCCCACTTCCCTCTTAACATGATTGCTCTGAATGTGTATTATCTTGTCACCTTATTAAATACTTCCTTTTTTAAAGGAACAAGAACTAGATCATTTGTGAGAGCAAGTGCGTATAAAAAAGCTGGTTCTTAAAGACCTAGCCGCTGGCAACTTCTTCCTGAGCTGGTTTCCTTCTATCTGATTCACTTCTTTAAGCCATTTAGCTGTGTTTCTTTAGCTTGAGAATTTTCAAAATGGTTTCCCCCTTTATCAGAAATAAAAAGGCTGAACACTGCTTTGTCAGAACTCTGCAGAGGGAGGAGAAATTCTCACTAAAAAGAGGCCTTTAAGCAAAGGGAAAAAAAACACATTCTTTTGTTTGACTAGCATTTTCATCTATCTGTGAGTTCTACAGATGTTTATCAGTTTACATTTGTTTCTGAAAGTTAGAAAGAATGCTAATAATACATGTTGGGAAGAAACATCCTTATAATCTAATCTGTTAGAAAAGATGATGCTGACTTCCACAATACAGTGCATTGTTGGAAATCATGATTCAGGCTGTACTGAAAGGTCAAATATGCATTATTATTCCAACATTCATATTCACCTTTTTGGAACATGCTTGTGTTAGTTTACACACAGTGAGAGTCAGTCTGATGCTGTTACAGGTAGCAGCTGTGTGTTTGAAGTGAAATGACGCTTAAGATCGCTATTATGTTGGGAAGTACAAACATGCTGAATAATGAGTATGCAAAGGCACATCGTGACATGTTTACTTTTCTCATCTGAAGATTAATACAAAGTAAATAACTACCAGTCTACCAACCTACACAATTTTTGCTCCACTGACTTGAATGGAATCAAAATAAGTTAAATTGAACATTTGGTCAACTATTATGAATTCCAAGTGTAAACTCTTTTTTTTTTTTTGGACGTGCCCCTAGTGGAAACCGAACCTGGGACTCTCTGGTCCGCACTGACACTCCAACCGCTGAGCCAAACCGGCCAAGGTCCAAGTGTAAACTCTTTATAATAAAAGGCTTCTGTGCTGTAAAGATCTATGTGGTATCTTCTAAAACCATTATTTGAACAGGATTGAACTATAATCTGTATGGCACACTCACAGTTTTTTTAAAAAGTAAAATAAAAAATATATATATGCAATAAAATTGAGCTAACTGCTATTTTGCCATATATAACAACTCTGGTTGGGGATTGAAAAATTTCCATCTCAAGTGCCTGAGTGTGGTAAAATAACATGACCTTCAGGTTAATTCATCTGGTCTCTGTTAAATGAGTCTGAAAAATAGAAGTATTCCACAAATGCAAACTATGCATGGTTAACTACTACTACCTGCCTATCAAAACCATACCTAAAAATGTTTAGCAAAAGCAGAACAAATAACTATATAAGGGAATAAGAGATCATAAAACCAAGGTCATGAGGGCCTGGGTCCTTTTCATTTTCCATTTTAAAGAATAAAACCACCTTGGAATGCCATGTCTCCTGATTTTCTAAAACGGAAATTTTGATTTATTCAGGTACCAGAGAGATAGACAATTTCATCTTTTTTAAATCTCTCATCTTTTCACTAGAAAGTCTAAATGAGAACGTGACAAAAGTAGGGAATGTTATGAATAGAATTGAATGAATCACAGGACCCACCCTACAGACCCAGGCCACAGTCATGGCAAATGCTAATTATCTGTATGTTTCATTTCTTACTCCTAGGCTCATGGAACCTCAAAACCTGCCACTGCCTTGTGTTTGTGTTTCTTGGGCTCATTCACACCACTTCTGTTACCCTCAAGGCATGATACAATGAACATACAGAGAGCATAATGAAAACAAAAGTAAAGTCTGTTCAGGAGCTGTAAACAGTGAAAGTGCAGAACTAACAATGTGAACAGAATACAAATGTCTGTATTCTCAACCTCCAGCATGAGCAGAAGGAGGAACCGGCTTACCTCTGATGTGCCAAGAGCATGTTCTCCAGCTAAAAGCAGCATGCTCAGTCCTCCCATTTGAGTAGGATCTAAGTCAAAAACAGGTAAGTCATCACTTTACAACCATGAAGTATGTATAATCCATACAGAGTCAAAAAAGGAAACTCACAAAGAGTAGCAAACAGAAATGCAATAGAACCACATATAGCTTTTTATAGAAAACTTCTCAAAACTCTTTATGCCTGGTATATATGTACTTAGTAGTCATACTTTTGTCAGCCTTTTAAACACCACTGTTTAAAAAAAAAACACCACTGTTGTCCCACCATTCCAACGTAATACATTCTTCAACACCACAGCTGTTTATAACATGCACTGTCTCCTTAATGCGATGCTTCTTTCCTTACTTCGTGGAGAGTTTAGATGGATTTATAAAATAAAAACAAAAGAGTGCTTATGCTTATCTTCTAACAAGTTTGACATTGTCATTCTCAAACTGTTATTTCTACCATGTAAAATCAGGGCTGTAAAAAAGAATGAGGCTATCAGAGGAACTAGAGAACAGAGAAAAATTCTACAAATAGGCCTTGCAAAATCTAGCAGGCTTTGTTTAAATATTATTTCTTTAAACTTAAAATTAAAAATGGTATCTTTTTGGCACATTAAATCTTAGGGGTGTAGTCAGGCCTTTCCTTGAAATAGCTTTAAGTTTTAAAATGAATCCTTTGTATATTACCAAAGATCTTTGTTTTCATTCGTTCAATAATCAACAGAAATAGAAAAACAAAAACAACAAATTTATAAATCTATGATCCGGGGTTATATCTAAACAAAGAAAGAATTACAATTAGAAAGCTATATCCTTTAAGGTTGTCTTAAATAAATTAAATATCAGAACTGCAATGAAATAACATTTGTGAACATGTCTAACTCTGTGCTTATTATAGTGCATGTAGGTCCTCAATAAATGAGTTTTAGCTCTAGTGTAGTTTAGTTGGTTGAGCATCGTCACTGAAAGGTCATTGGTCAGGGTACATACCCAGGCTGCAGGTTCAATCCCTGGTTGGGGTGGATATGGGAGGCAACTGATTGATGTTTTTCTCTTACATCGATGTTTCTCTCTCTTTCTCCCTCTCTTGTCCTCTCTCTCTAAAATTGATAAAAACATATTTAAATCAATCAATAAATAAATGAGTTTTTAATTTTAGGAAGCTCTCTACAACTAAAAATGAGGATCAGGTATACGGTTGTCTAAAGACATTCAGAAGTTTCACTTCTTTTTCTTTTTAGACTTCTTGTTTAAAAAGCATGTCCTTAAGTATATCTTTGTATATAATCTGTGTGGAGAACTCATGAAGCAACTCTGACCACATCTTTTATGCAAATTTTCCAAAACCTGATGTAGTTTTTAAAAAGGGGGGGATTATTAGAGGGGAAACTATGTCACCAAATGATCAGGTGATCAAGGTTAATGTTGAAAGGCAGCCACAAGGAGGACACACATAATGAATACACAGGAGCAGGCTGATTTGATAAAACAAGTTTTTTTTTACTGGTTAAAACTATTGTCATTACTAAAATAAATACTTAAATCTATTTTAAAATAAATAGGAGGGGGAAATGAGTTAAGCTAAATGGAAAAGTTTAGTTTGGTTCTTTGGGCAGCTAAATAATTTTGCAGCTGGCATTTTAGAGATCAGGAGGACTGGCTGATCACTTTCTAATAAAGACAAAAATGTGTTAATTATTAAGTAAAATAGGAACACACTTATATGATAAGTAATATACCAATGTGACTTTGCAAGAAGTATGCTCTAATGATAGTAAAACACAGACCAAGAAATTACCATCATGTTTTTATATTAATTTATACTTATATAATGTTACTTAGAAATATCAAAAATACATAAAGAATATGCTTTCCTTTCACTGAGATTGCATGTACTAAATTATATCCTACATAGCTTCCCTTTCTTGGAAATCATACAACTGATTGCTTTGAGGTTATTCAAAATAGGAAAATGTCATGTGACAAGAACTATTGGGAAAAAAAGATTCCATGTTGAGGAAAAGCTTAAACTGGCCCCAAAGAGTCCTATAGTATCCCCTAGATTCAAAAAGCTAAGGACCATGTTTTAATGAAAGGAACATTACTTTGCTTTCACTGTATTAAAAAGGAAATAACTAGAAATATCAGACCAATATTGTACACTATACACTAATCTAACAAGGGCTCTGGATCCTAGATTTCCAACTTCATTATAAGCCCTTACATAATGAGATAAATGCAAGAAGGGTGCTGTTTTGTTATTTTTGTTCCTTTCCTGTATTTTGCTTTAAAGAACACAGTTTTAAAAAGCTGACCTATAAATATCTTGGTTGAAGTCTAGGTCCCACTTTTAATTTGTAGGTATAAAAGGTAGACTAATAAACTGTCAGAAATGGTGCTATAAACAGACACCATTCATAACTTTCCATAATTTATCAACAATTATTTTGGTTTGTAAAGAGCCAATGCATGTAAAAAACCAACACAGACTCCCCTATATTTAAAACTGTAAGAAAAAGCAATAGAAGATAAGTAATATTCAAAGGAATTCAGTTAGAAGCCAATCGTTCATATATTCTCTTTTGGTTCTGATAATAAAATGTTTTATTAAACACTCCCACTGGAATAGTGTGGCAAATCCAGAATGCTCACCAGCACTACCAGCAAATGGTTTGAAGCTTAAATTGTGCCAAGTGACGGCTAAAACAAGGGAAGATCTCTGTTTTGATTCTTCTGGGATATGTGGAAGTATTATTTTGGAAGCTCACCTATACTACAGACACCTACATAATAATCACCTGAAGACTGTTCTTCCAGAATGTCACAATTACATTAGAATGCATTTCTTAGGCTTATATATGACACACCACATACTCTGTTATATTATGAATCATACTCTAAACTATTAAATTGCATTAGGCCTACTAGCCATTAAAAAAAAAAAGAACACGTGTCATCACAGTATTATTCAACTTCCTTCCCAAGTTTTCCATATTACAAATAGTTCGGAGCTCTCATTTAAAAGAAAATTGCTTGTAATAATGAAACAGGGAACCCTATGGTTCAACATCAATCTCCCCCTGCCCAATTTCTCAATTTCATCCTGGAAAATTTCTCTTTTGAGTACTACACTGCAATAACCAGGGAAGACAGAGCCATTTACAGAGTGAGTATAAACACTTTATTTCACGGTTATGAATGCTTTAGCATTCCTTACCACCCAAAGAGTATTAAAGGTTCCATAACAAACAGGACCATCTGGGATTTTAAATTTGCTTGGCCCATACAGGAATGGGGGCAGCAGAGGGGATAGGATGGGAATTCCCTCTAAGAAACAGCTGTCAGATCCATCACAGATTTGTGGTAGAGTTGTTCATATTCTTGCCCAAGATGTTTTCATATCCTCAGATGATCTACATAAGTGTGGCTTTTCAAGTATCCATAATAACTAAGGTGCTTACTGAGATAGCTTACTGTGTATGTGTCTGTAAACTATTTTGTTACATTACAAAATTCCCTGAGCTCCTGACAATCCAATCTCCACACTGCTGCCTGCTTTTCCATAATGCTAATGTCAGGAATTCACATATATGTATAGTGACTCTACCACTTGGTCTATACCTCCTTTCTTTAATTATATATACTCATTCTATGTACGCTATGCTCCAAAGCTTTAAGATATGCTATATTATATTTGCCACTATTTCCCATTGGTCTTACATTTTGCTTCTCGCTCTTTTTAAAATTTTTTCTTTTCTCTGTATTGTTTGGGAAAAGTACTGCCTAAATGTACTGCCCTGTCCTTAAAGAACAGGTAGAAATAGTGTCTAAACTCACCGGCCATTCCAAAGTTAAGCTGAGGCATTTCTTCAGTCTTTGCTTTCTTGGGGCTTGGCAAGTCTCTTGAAGAGTCAGATGGGAAGGCCCATAGTTTCTTTCGTGGATTGACAGTGGGTGTTGGGGATTTCACAGGCTTGTTTGTGGTAGGACACCATTTGTAGCCAGGGTTTGCTTTCATAAATGCATCTTTATACTATAAATAAAGAATAGATAACAGGTTTAATTAACACATAAATTGCTAATTAAAACATTGAAAATGTTCCAATAGCCTTCAGGTCATTACCCCGTTTGAATAATAACTGGGAAAAAAAACAACATTTTCAGTAACTTCGATGGTTTTCCTTGTAGAAGAGTGGTAATTCAGAACATGAATTGATTTACTAAAAAGTTCATTTTGTGGGATGAGGGTATAGATACAGCAAATTTTTAATCTTTTAATCCTCAGTATTTTATTAGCATACAAAAAGCTGTCTGACCTTGGTGGAGAAAGGGAGTTATTTGTCATGGAAAGAAGCCAAGGGCTTTGAATACAGAGAAACCAGAGTTCAAATCCTAACACTTCCACGTAGGGCTACAGCAACCAAAAATGGAGACCAGAATTAGAGAATGTAACATCTCTGGGCCTCAGATTTAGTTTCCACAGTCTGGAAACAACACCAAAATGCCTAGGGTTATTGTAAACAGAGGTGCATAGCATGGTATCTGGTACACATTACAAAGTGTGAGCAGGTCAGTAACCAGGTCTGCTCCCTGCTTATCTTGGTAAGTACACCCATGCCTTGATGTACTAGTAAGGCAAATGCAGGCAAACTTAACAAACAAAGTAATCAGCTGTAGAATAAGTGAGCCAAGATCGAGAATAGAAGTAGGGGAACAAGGTAGGGCAAAGTAATGCATAACTTCTCAGTCATTTGAAGATGCAAGGCCACATAGAAGAATGAGTACTGGGTGCAAAGTCTGGGGACCTGGGTTCAAATCCCATTCTATGCTATTGGCCAGCTGTGGACATTAAGCAAGTTGTTTAACCATTCTCAGCCTCAATTCCTCCATCTATAAAGTGTAACTGCACGACCAACATCCCAGGGTTTTGTAATGAGCCATGTGATCACTGATGTGAACGTGTTGAGAGCTGTAATGTGTGATGCTGTTACTAATCCATCACAAACTTTAGGTCTTTACTTGGAGGTTTCAGCCTTTCCGACATCTTCCTTTCTCCTTTATCTTTCTGTGGCTTCTCCCATACTTACCACTTCTTTACCCTTTCCTGATTAAATTAAATAAAAAAAATTTATTGCTATACATTATATATTGTCAAAAGTTTCTTCATCTGATAAAATGGATTTTCTATGTATTGTTCAACTATTATATGTTGTTACTGTTAGATACTCTATTAAATTAATGCAATTATTTAAATCCCATAATCTTGCCTTTTAAAATGGTCACTTTGTGTGTAAAATGAACTAAGTTAGTATAAGCACCAAAGCTTTTTACTTAGCCCAATAGGAAAAAAAGATTCCTTTATCCTTGGTGTAAAGAAAGTATATAAAATCCAAATAACAAACCTTTCTCATCACTGCACTTTAAATCATATAAACAAAAGTTGTACTATAGATAGTTAGTAGTTTAGAATTATTTAGAATCACATTAATTCACATGTTCCGAATAATCCTTTTTTCCCCAACTAAAAGCTGTACATCTGCATATTGATATATAGGTACATATAAGAGGAAGGTAAGCATAAAAAACTGTAAGATACAGTTCTACTTTTCTTACAAAAATAATTAAAATGGGACACAAGGCCAGAGCCAAACTAGGATTTACCCACATAGCAGACTGTGACAGAACAGACACCCTCTCCTACACGTGCAGGGGGATTTACATATTAAGCTAGGGCCGACAGACAGCATGGCCTGCTGTCTGGAGCTGGAGAATGACACATGGTAGAGTGGGGTGAAAGTGGAAGTGGGAGACACATGCTTTCTTACTGTGTCCCAGCAGAACACACACAGGCATGGTTTGTCAGATGAACAGGCATTTGGACAAAGGTTACCACTCTATAAAGCAGGGGTAGGGAACCTTGTTTCTGCCAAGGGCCATTTGGATATTTATAACATCATTTGTGGGCCATACAAAATTATCAACTTAATAATTAGCTTGCTAGCCCTGCCTGGTTTGGGTCAGTGGTTCGGGAGTCCACCTGTGAAACAAAGGGTCATGGGTTCAATTCCCTGTCCAGGCCATGTACCTGGGTTGCAGGTTTAATCCCAGACCCTGTTCAGGGTCCTGTGGGAGGCAACCAATTGAAGTGTCTCTCTTACACTGATGTTTCTTTCCCTCCCTCTCCATTTCCCTCCCTTCCACTCTAAAAATCAATGGAAAATATCCTTGGGCAAGGATTACCAAAACAAAACAAAAACAAGCAAACAAACAAAAAAATTAGCCTGCTATATTTGGTCAAGCTAATTTAGTGAGGTGTGTGATGTTAGCTGGTATTGATTTCTCTGGTCTTTCAGGGAGGATCCCCACCCCTGCAAAGTGACAAAGGACTTTCAAACAAATTAATTAACATACCTGCCATGAGAAAATTTTTAAATTTTGGTAGTTTTTTAAGAAGAAATTTCCAGTTATGAAAGTTCCAGTTACTACAGTAAATCATGATAACTTTAGAATTTGTGATCATTCAAAGTGATATAGATCTTTTGCAATGTTTGAAAAGTTGCAAATTCATATTGTAAACTATTTTGTAAGAAAAAAATTTACAGTGTTTAAGGAAATTACTAAATCTCAGTGAATGCATTTTTTAAAGAAAACAAAGCATTTTACAATTCAAATTAGTTAACATGAATTTATCTATTAATACACTTTCAGAAATGTAGATGTTTACTCACCCAGATCCCTATTTACTTTCTAAAAAGTAACAAAATTAAATTTAAAAAGAAACTCTAAACTTTTCATTTTTTTATTAGTACAAAGTTATTAAACTGACTTTTCTCCTAATTACCCAAATTAGTAAGCAAAACTGTTAAGAAAAATTTTTATATGAAAATGAACTACTGTTGCCACAATAATCCTTACAGCCAATTTATGTAACAAAATCTATAGCTAACTCCTTTGCATTCTGTTTTGCCTTTAGGACTTTCCCACAACAGAACAACAAAGCACTTCCATGGTCACTTAGTCAACTCAGTTTTTGAAGTGTGTCATTTTTATTGGAGTGGTTTTATCATGAAAGTTTTGCACATTAAAGTGTAGCAAAATATTTTTGTTCTGTAAAACCATACACTTAATTCAATGTTCTGTCACATAAAGCAGTCTACTTTTCTTTCTATTAAAGGTATCTAAGCTGTAAGAATTCAGATCAGATAGTGCTATTGAGTCTTATTATCTAAATAATCATTTTTAAAAATACTTGTGAGGGAAAGGTCCTAGAACTAAGAAAGCAGAGATTAGTGTCACTTTTTAAACCTTCCTTTCCTCTTTCACTCTTGTATAATGTGATTTCTACCTGCCACAGAGAAGAGGTATAACTGCCTCAAAATTTATTATGTCAGGGGTTCACTTAGCCCCCTGCAGCTATAAAATAAAATAATGTGTCATATCTCTTTTTAAAATATCAGATAATTCCCTGTGTAATCTCTACTCTAAAATTCTAGTAAGATTTTTTTTTATGGTGACATTTCATATATTTGCACCAGAATCAGGTGTCTTTTTTGGGTAGACAGTCCCAGGGTCTCACCAAGGTTGCCATTCTCTTTCCCCCTGTTGAGATGATCTAGACTATATTAATAACTAGACATACTACTGGACTTTTAGGTAGCACCCCCCCACACACATTACATTGGACAATCATTTGTAAATACATTTTTCTTTAACATTAAGGCATTTTTTAAGATAAAATTTCCATTCTTATGAATGATCTGGAAAAAAAAATGTTGAGACCCAATTTTTAAAAGATTAACATAAGGTACTGTCTTTTGGTGTATAACAATACCATTGTCATAAAAGAAGTAGGCAAAATACTGTCATGAAGGGGATGTATTTTCTACCATTACTGAATAACAGTGATTTATTATTATTGCTAATGAAATGTGGTGGTAGTTGGGGTTGAAGAGAAGGGATTCAGCATTTACTGAGCACCTTGTGTAAATCAGGACCTGTATCTGTAAAGTTGAATCACTTAGGTTATCTAATGGGTTGGAAATTTGTGGAGAAAATAATGGAAGCCATGAGGTAACTTTTTACTTTAATGGGAGATTTTTGAAAATTATATTTAGCAAGTTACTTTCAAAATAGTACCAGTGGCCTGAGACTGACATTCTTAGAGGATAACTGAGCTTCCCCTCCTACCCTCTACACTACAGGAACATCCCAGTCCTGAGGTAGGGCCTATCTCTTTGGCCCTGTTAATCTTGTGATGATGAATTTTTGCCCACATGGTTGACCAAAATGCTAATCGTTTCACTCAGCTATTTGCTTCAGACTAATACAGTTTTCCTTCATTTCTCTCTTACTCAACCCTCTATGATATTCCTTTCCTCAATAACCTCATCACAACAAATGATTAGACCTTTCTGTTGTCTCTTACTGCTGAGTCAGAGCAAATGACTGATGAGGTGCCTAGTCCCAAGGACAGATAGACATCCTCACACCCTGAGGCTCTTCCTGCTTCTGTCCACACTTGGTATTCATACACTGCTTGTACTGACTTGTGTCTTTGCATGAATTTATGACTTCTCCATCTAAGCATCAAATTCCTAAAGACAAGGGGTGTGTTATTCTTTTCTCCATCTCCCACATTCTTAAACCTTTTTGCTCAATATATATGCTTGATTGGGCTAATGATATTGTCTGGGCACTGATCATTTACACTGAGCTTAAGATTTTGCAAGATTAGCCCTGGCCAGTTTGGCTCAGTGGTTAGAGCGTCGGCCTGCGGTCCGGAGAGACCCGGGTTCGGTTCCCGCTAAGGGCACATACTTCGGTTGCAGTTTGTCCCCGGCCCTGGTTGGTCGTGCGGGTGGCAGCCACTCGATGTGTCCCTTCACGTCGATGTTTCTCACTCTCTCTCCCTTCCTCTCTCTCCCTCCCATTCTATCTGTACAAAAAATGGAAAAATGTCCTCGGGTGAGGATAAAAAAAAAAAAAAAAAAAAAGAAGATTTTGCAAGATTAATATTGTGATTGTGACAGTGTA